GGATCACGTTGTGGTTCCCCTTATTGATGACCAACCATGGAATCACGAGGCCAGACACAAAGATTGGGTTGAAATAAGGGTCACTTTAGAATTGAAAAGGAGTAAGACAGTCAAGTCATGGTCAGATGTCTATCTCAAGACAACTCAATGTAGCCTTCCCTTAAGCAAATCGCCTAAGTCCCAAGGCAGGCCTAATTTTTGGGTTGCTCCCTGGCTGGCCAGTTATTGGAAAGTCAACCTCTGAAAGTCCCATCCAAACGGCATGTTTTTATTGATGTGCTGTTGGGCTTGGGGAGATGGTGGCGGGGTATAAATAAAATTATTATTATTATTATTATTATTATTATTATTATTATTATGACTTTCAGGTAAAAGCAAAATCATAAAGACTTTAAAACTCTCTCTCACACTCACACACACACACAATCCCACTCACTCCTCCCTAGCTATGAGACTTTGGGGGGTGTTGGGATAATTTGAACAGAGGAAGATAGCCTGGATAAAGGTACACAAAGAAAAAAAATTCTTAGAAAGCTATTTAGCACTATTTTAAGTTTTAAGAAATATGCAGAAACCAAATGGAGCTCCAAAGGAAGACACATTCCCTCTCCTGCAAATACCACATCACAAAAAATGGAGATGCTGAGTGCAAGGTAGCTATATAAAAGACCAGCCTTGCAGAAAGCCTCATGGTCGTCTCTCTTCTTCTGATTGGCTGACAAGGAAAAAAGAGCACGCAGCTGCCCTTTGTCAATCACTTCAGCCCTTGACCCCCTCCCCCACCCCCTCCCTTCCCAAGGTGACAGAGTATGTTTCATTGGGGGAAAAAAAGGTCCAAGTCAACAAATCTTTTAAGAATTTCCCCAAAAATTTCAGAGCCTTCTGTTTTGATTCGGTTCATATCCCCAAATCACCCAAATCTCCCGAAATACAAACTGACATTTGAAATTTCACACACACCCTAGCTCTTTCTCTTTGAAGCACCCATAGAGCCTCCAAATCTCTCTTTGAGGGAAGAGTTTGGGGTCATTTATTTATCATGTCAGGAGCAAACCAAACAGTTGTATTGCATTTTTTAACAAGCAAACAAACAAACAAACAAACAAACAAACAAAACACAAAGTTTGCAAGCTTGGTAGTTGATTAAATGTCCTTTGACCAACTGGCAATTTGGAGTGCCTCTGGTGTTACTATAAGAAGGTCCTCCATTGTGCATGTAGTAGGGCTCAGGTTGCATTGCAGCAGGTGGTCTGTAGTTTGCTCTGCTCCACACTTGCATGTCGTGGATTCCACTTTGTAGCCCCATTTCTTAAGGTTGGCTCTGCATCTCGTGGTGCCAGAGCGCAGCCTGTTTAGCGCCTTCCAAATCGCCCAGTTTTCTGTGTGTCCAGGAGGGAGTCTCTCAATTGGTACCAGCCATTGATTGAGGTTCTGGATTTTAGCCTGCCACTTTTGGACTCTCACTTGCTGAGGTGTTCCAGCGAGTGTCTCTGTAGATCTTAGAAAACTATTTCTTGATTTAAGTCATTGACGTGCTGGCTGATACCCAAACAGGGGGTGGGCCGGAGAAGTCACTGCCTTGATCCTTTCACTATTGAATGCTACTTTCCAGCGGATGTCAGGTGGTGCGATACCAGTTAAGCAGTGTACTTTCTCCAGTGGTGTAGGGCGCAGACAACCCGTGATGATGCGGCATGTCTTATTAAGAACCACATCCACTGTTTTAGCGTGGTGAGATGTGTTCCACACTGGGCAAGCATACTCAGCAGCAGAGTAGCATAGTGCAAGGGCAGATGTTTTCACTGTGTTTGGTTGTGATCCCCAGGTTGTGCCAGTCAGCTTTCATATATTGTTTCTAGCACCCAATTTTTGCTTGATATTTAGGCAGTGCTTCTTGTAGGCCAGGGCACGGTCAAGAGTGACTCCCAGGTATGTGGGTGTGCTGCAATGCTCCAGTGGGATTCCTTCCCAGGTAATCCTCAGAGCTCGGGATGCTTGTCTGTTATTAATGTGAAAAGCACATGTCTGTGTTTTAGATGGATTAGGAATCAGTTGGTTTTCCCTGTAATAGTCAGTAATAAGAGAAAAGAAAAACATTTTCATAACTGTCACATTATAAAATGTTCAACCCTCCAGGTATTCCTGAATGACCAATTTATTCTTTGCCTTGATTGTTGTGTGAAATTTGTGTGAAATGAAGTAATGAAGAAAGTTTTTGTTTTAACAATTTTCTTCAGCTTTATCACACTTGGTCCCGCTAATCCCATGTGCTCTTTCACTCATTAAGACACAGGTGAGGTCTCAGAACAATACAAAAAAACTAAAAAGTTCCCCTGCTGTGTGGAGATGAAAAAAATGCTCCTCACCATACTTAAGGATGTGATTTTGAACATTGTAATTATCTCACAATACTAGAAATTATGCTTCATCACGTACGTCCCTGTAAATTTTCTGACAACCTCTTTCAGTATCTAGAAGAAATATTTAAATGTTCCTCTGTACAGTTGAAAATAAAAGAAATGGAGGACAGACAAGATTGTGTCAACTATCTTTTATAAAAGTGTTGTGCCCTTGATGACTGTTATATCTGGTATCTCAAGATCTCAGAAGATTCGAAGACCTTCTTTGCTCTGCACTTTAAACCAATCAATTCATGCTGCACTTCCTTGACTAAGGTAGAGGTGTGAGCACAGTGAACTTCCAGACTGTGCAAAATCTTGGTTCATGCATAATTTAAGGACAGGATTGATATGAAAATGCCCAGAGGGGAAAGAGTATGAATAAATATGTGCATTTTATGAGAAACATAGGCAAAATGCTTTTGTCAAGAGATAAGATTGAAAATGATTTTTAAGAAAATACTTTATCTTGTTTTTTGATTACCGGTATTAAAATGTTTGGACTAATATAAAAGGTAAAGATTTCCCCTTGACATTAAGTCTAGTCGTGTCTGACTCTGGGGGGTGGTACTCATCTCCAAAGTGGTACCTATTGATCTACTCACATTTGCATGTTTTCGAACTGCTAGGTTGGTAGAAGCTGGGGCTAACAGTGGGAGCTCATCCCACTCCCCACTAGAACAAGACAAAACAGACATATGGTTGAACACAGGCAGAACTAACTTTTAGTTAGCAGATATTAATTTGATCTGTTCATATCTTCTGTTTAACCACAGTAAGCTGAATAAATGCACTCTTGATTTGATTCATATGCCATGGAAAGTTTCCTTCTGATGCCGACATTATTTTGGCTAATATTGCTGCCAACAAGTGAATGCAAGACACCCACTGCTATGTGCACCATGGCTGATTTATTCCAGGTCCCATACAAGTATTGTGTAACAGGAGACATAATCATTGGACAGATTACTACACAGTTTGAGAGCATCTTTGAAACAATGTCCTTCAATCAATATCCCAAGTTGATAGATGAATTCATGTAAGGAAACACTTTATTTTTCCAGTGTGCTTAATGTTAAAATGAAGTTTAACTCACACTAATATTAGACAGGTAATTGTACTATTCTTTATTTTATTTATCATATCAGTAGCGAACCCAAGATACAGTTGTAATGTATTTAAAAAGCACAAAGTTTAAAAATGTGGCATTATATTAAATGTCCTTTGACCAGTAGCTGGCCACTTGGAGTGCCTCTGGTGTTGCTTTAAGAAGGTCCTCCATTGTGCATGTGGCAAGGTCAGAATGCATTGTAATAGGTGGTCTGTGGTTTGCTCTTCTGCACACACACATGTCACATGTACTGTGCTGTGGTCCTATAAGACTTCCTTTCTCTCCCTACCCACCCCCAAAATAAATAGTATGTAAAAACTATTTCTCATAGCCTAAATGATTTTAAAGGTATGACATTAGTAAATGCTTTGCAAACAACATGGTTCAAAAAGCCAATACAAGTCACCTTTAAAAACACATTCTATGTTTATTGTGTATTAACTTTTGTTTCATGTATTTTAACTTCAAGCCTTAAGGAGAGGTATGTAATATGATGACGAGGATGTCAAGCATGTTAAAATATCAGGTCAATCATTGTTTGGGTTCATAGTTCTCTCTGGATGTACTAGGTGAACTGCAACTCCTTTAAATCATGGAGAATTCTTCCCAAACCGCTTGTTCAGTTGCTGATCAATTCCTGCTTGCTGTGTGCCAAAGGAAAGGGTTAAGGGGGAGGCAGTGGGTGAAGTCATGCAAATTCCATACCCACAGAGAGGAACCCTGGGATGTCCATTCTGGAGGAAAAACAGAACATCAAGGATAAAATGGTCCCTGCTTGAAAGCCTTCGCTTTGGTGGTGGGCAGTATGGTGTTTGGGGAGGACATTGGCAGGAGTTGGGAGACATATTCATGGTGCCCACTATAACCTGAAATGTCCCTGGTAGCTTCTCAGCACTGTGGCTAGGAGCCACTGGTGGCACAATGGGTTAAACCCTTGTGCTGGCAGGACTGAAGACCATCAGAGGTTCGAATCTGGGGAGAGCACAGATGAGCTCCCTCTGTCAGCTCCAGCTCCTAATTTGGGGACACGAGGGAAGCCTCCCACAAGGATGGTGAAATGTCAAAACATCACAGCATCCCCTGGGCGACATTCTTGCAGACAGCCTATTCTCTCACACCAGAAGTGACTTGGTTTTTATAGCTGTTTGTGGAGGCGGGAGGCTGTCTGTGTAAGTGGACACCTCCACCACATACACATATGCATATTTTCATTTCATTATGTGTGTGGACAGATGGATGTCCTTACGTGTTTCTAGCTTTCATGATGTGCACAGTAGTATAGTGTGTTTGCATTGATTTAAGCTGGTTATATATATCAATACGGCTATTTATTGCATGCATAATATTACTCTTTCTTTAGTGCGACAACAAAGTACTACCAACATGTCCTTGCTCTGACATTTGCTATGAAGGAGATCAATGAGAATCCCATGCTCTTGCCAAACATCAGTCTTGGGTTTCAAATCTATGACACTTTCTTAATGGCAAGGATGGCATATCAGAACACCTTGAAGCTCTTGTCTTCTCAGAACAGGATTGTTCCGAATTATATCTGTGATAGGCAGCATAATCTGGTATCGATCATTGGAGGACAGAGCTCTGAAACTTCTCTTCACATAGCTACCATCTTAGACATCTACAAGATCCCACAGGTACGATGCATATGTTGACCACGGCATTTTTCATTAAACTTAATTTTTTTCCTTTCAGTTATGTTATCTGTATTTCTTTCCTCTATGCCCCATTTTAGAAAAGAGAGGCTCTAAATAGGAAACCCCTAGGGTAGACTACTTTGAGTTAAAGCATTGGCCGGGGGAGATGGGGGATATAAGCCAATCAGTTAATCAATCAATAGATCTGTGGTTAGGACAAACAAAACATTTTTCAATCAAGGAGGTAAACTATTTCCATTTTTAAATAAGCATAATCTAAAATCAATTGTTTTCCTTTGATCACAATGTTCAATGCAGATGGGCATATGGTCTTGCAGCTTCAAAGCCTGGCTGTTTGTTGCCTGGGGGGAATCCTTTGTTGGGATGTGTTAGCTGGCCCTGGTTGATTCTTGGCTGGAATTCTTTTGCTTTTTAAGTGTTGCTTATTATTTACTGTCTTTTTATTTATTTATTTTTATTTAGAGTTTTTTTTAATACTGGTAGCCAGATTTTGTTCAATTTCATGGTTTCTTCCTTTCTTTTGTCCACATGCTTGTGGATTTCAATGGCTTCTTTTTGTAACCTGACTTGATGGTTGTCAGAGTGGTCCAGTATTTCTGTGTTCTCAAATAATATGCTGTGTCCAGGTTGGTTCTTCAGGAGCCCTGCTATGGCTGACTTCTCTGGTTGAATTAGTCTGCAGTACCTTTCATGTTCCTTGATTCGTGTTTGGGCAATGCTGCTGCGTTTGGTAGTCCCTGTGTAGATTTGTCCACAGCTGCATGGTATACGGTGGACTCCTGCAGAAGTGAGAGGATCCCTCTTGTCTTTTCTGAATGTTGGATTTTTTTTTAGTGGGTCTGTAGATTATTTGTATGTTGTGTTTCTTCATCAGCTTCCCTATGTGGTCAGTGGTTCCCTTGATGTATGGTAAGAATACTTTTCCTCTGGGTGGATTTTTGTCTTTACTCTCATGGCTTGTTCTTGGTCTTGCGGATTTTCTGATGTCTGTGTTGGAGTATCCATTGGGCTATAGAACCCACTTCAGGTGGTTCAGTTTACCTTGGAGGAGGTGGGGTTTACAGATTCCCTTTGCACGATCTGCCAGGGCTTGAATTGTTCCTCTTTTTTTACTTAAGTGATGGCTGGAGTTTTTATGTAGGTATCTATCTGTGTGTAGGTTTTCTGTAAACTGTGTGGCCCAATTGTTGATTGGGTTTGCAGATGACTAGGGCATCTAGGAATGGCAGTTTTCCTTCATTTTCTTTTTCCATGGTGAATTGGATGTTTGGGTGGATGCTATTGAGGTAGGTTGTCCAGGAACTTGTTGAGTTCTTCTTCTCCATGGCTCCAAATGGTGAAGGTGTCATCCACATATCTGGACCATATAATGGGCTTTTTTGTTACTGTTTCCAGGGCATGTTTTCCAAAGTGTTCCGTGTAGAAATTTGCTATGACTGGGCTGAAGGTATGTTTGATTCATCTAGTCTGCAGGCTTGTTGTATAATCCTGTGTGAGGGTCCATCTACCATGGTATTTACATAACTCCGCTCTTGACCAGACTGTCACCCTTACCTTTCTCATTTTGTTTGCTGCCACGGAACTCCTGATTACTCCTGGCCATTGCTGGGTACCTTTGTCAATGTCAGAAAAGGTGCTGGCAGGACTTGGAGATGGCAGGGAGAAGGAAAAGCCATCTTTTCTCCAAGTTGTGTGGAGCACCTTTGCTGACACCAACAAAGAACCCAGCAATGGCCAGAAGCTCTCTGGAACCCGATGGCTGCCACTGCAGCAACAAAAAGGATAAAGTGCCATCTCCTTTTCCATGACCACTAAGTGTCATCTAAGCAGGATGATGGCACTGGCCGGTATGAACTGCCAGGTTAGTTCAAAATCCACGTGGGACTGTTCCAGAGCTTGATTTGTCCTAACATAGTGTAGAATCAGGTTAAACAGGTTTTACCAGTAGCAGGGACCAGAAATCCCTGGACGTCCTTTGGACATCCTGAGGCAACTTCTTATCAAACTCAGGGTTTGTGGCCAATGTCTACTGAGTTGTTTGTCCAGGTCCATGCCAGAGCCGAGTCTAGGTTTCAGGAGCATTTCGCCAAAGGGGTGTTAACTATGTGAACCAAATTTTGCAGGACATTGACCTTGTGCTAATCTATCATTGTTCTTACTTCCCTAACATTTCCCAGACCCAGTAAATGCATTCAAAATTCTTCTTCTGCAAAAGTAATGCACAAAGATTTTTATAGTTCTTGTCTGTTGTGTAAAAAATGATTCTCTCCTTAGATTGCCTACTCCATTTTAGCACCAGTGAGTGATGTTAAAGAAAAGCTCCCTTCCTTCTACCGCATGGTTCCTGGTGAAAAATGGCAGCACATGGGAATTGTTCTTCTCCTTCTGCATTTCCATTGGACTTGGATTGGGATCATAGCATCACATGATGACAAAGGAGAGAACTTTGTGCAAACAATGCTGCCAATGCTTTCCCAACATGAAATCTGCACGTCTTTGATTGCAAGGACACAAACTATATCAGATATTTTAGAGAATACCCAGGTAATAAATAAAGTTTTGGCAATTGGAGATTCACTAACTAATTCTACTGTCAAAGTATATATAGTAAACGCAGATTTCATAACCGTATCATGCTTGAAATGGCTGATATATCTTTATGACACAGTATCGGGCAGTATACAGATATCCAGAGGGATAATATGGCTTATGACAGCCCATTGGGATTTTTCATCAGACATGTTTCACAGGAATTTTGATACGCGTGTCTTCCATGGTGCCTTGTCTCTTGCGAGTCACTCAAATGAGGTGCTGGGATTTACAAAATTCTTAGAGCAACTCCATCCTAATTTGCCAAAAGGAGATGGCTTTATCAAGATCATCTGGGAGCAAGCATTCAACTGCTTGTTTTCTGATTCTAAAGAGGCAATGGAGAGTAATATTTGTACTGGTGAAGAAAAACTGGAGATGCTCCCTGGAACCTTTTTTGAGATGAGCATGACTACCAAAAGCTATAGCATCTATAATGCCATCTATGCCCTAACTCATGCTTTAGACAAGATTCTCTCATCATTGACATCTAAACTCAAAACAACAGCAAATAGAAGTAGACTGCTTGCTGAGAATCTGCAATCTTGGATGGTAATGTTTCTAATTTGTCAAATTCTGCCATGTGTGCTCTAGCAAACTTTCAGCAATGTGTGTATAGTATTCAAATGGTAAAATTTCCCAGGATTTTTTTTTCTTGTACATGTCTGTTACACATTTAGGTGCTTTTAAATTAATGATGTCTTAATATGAAGTTTGAACTTTTACAATTGCTTTTAGCTTTATCTTGTTTCAACTTTGTCATGAGTCACTTTAAGTGAAGAAAGAAAAGAAAAGAAAAGAAAAATTGAATGAGATTGGCCAAGCCCATTTTACACCCAGAACAAGCATCTAACTCCAAAAATTTCCATATCACTCTATCAGATAATCTTTAATGAGAATAATAAATTGCAAAATCTTGTTCCAAAGTGGTATTATCAGGGAGAGCAAACACTAAATACAGTGGGTCCTTGGTATCCAGTGTGGTTTGATTCCAGGACACTACAACCACCATGACTACCCCTGACTCACGTGGATGGTGGAATCCACAGATTTGGAAGACCAACTATAATTTATTCTTCCAAGCAAAGTGATGACTATCAACTGGAAAAATGAGCAAAATGTTTTTCTCTGGGTTAACATTAGAAATGTCTATTGCCCTCTTAGGGCCCACCCAGACAGCCCCTTTATTGCAGAAACTTCCTTTTCTAAAGGGTCTGGGGGCTTGGGGGGAGGGGTGGGTATTCCCACAGTTTACCAGGCTTATTTAGCCCAGTAAACTGTGGGAATGGTGTCTGGACTGTAGTTCAGATATCGTAAATAGTGCATTGGGGCTTGAGGGGAGGGAGGTAGGGCCTTCAGATGTTCTCTTGGGCTAGTCCCGAGAGAACATCTGATCACCCACCCCAGAAAGTGCGTGCTTTCTGGGGTGGGTGTGGACAGGCCCCTGGAAACATTTACGTTATTTTAACACGGATGTTTCTGGGATAAAGACCTGTCTGTATCCAGCCTAAGTAGCCACATTGGTAGCATTGTTTTTTTCTCTAGAAAGGTAACTAAATGCTCCCAAAATCCAATGCTGATAAGGATTAGAATGGAGAATTCTAACAAGTACCATTGTTGCTTCCTTTCATTATTTCATATTTTTTCCTCATAAACTAGCTTCACCCTGTTTTGAGGAATCTCTCATTTAACAACAGTGCTGGAGACACCGTGTCTTTTGATGAGAATGGTGAATTAGCCGGTGGATTTGATATAATCAATTGGGTTACATTCCCAAACAAATCTTTTGCAAGAGTGCATGTGGGAAGAATGGATCCACAGGCTTTACTGGGCCCAAAGTTCACAATTGATGAAGAAGCTATCACATGGCATAGCTCTTTTAATCAGGTGGGATACGACTATGAAGATGCAACAATAAGTTCATTATCCAGTACCAGATAAATACTGGTTGAATGAGCAGTGGAGGTTAAGGTGAAGGGAACACGTGGTGTTATCACTGTTCTTTTTTGTGCAGATTTATAACCTACTAGCTCAGGCATGTAGCTGGGGGGGGGGGGGCTTGAGGGGCTTCACCCCCCCCCCCGAAATTCTCATGGTGGTTCGCGAAAAGGCCTTACTGGTGCATTATTTAAACTGTTATGTTTATTCATATCATGATCTGATCACCATACTCAATATATCCCATATGCATGGGGGTATTGGGGTAACGATACAAAAGGTTTGCTAGGGTAGAACCTCTTTCACTCAGACTCAGCCCCCCCCCCCCACACTCCCCCCCCCCCCCCCCCCCCCGAATTGAAATCCTGGCTATGGGCCTGTACTAGCTGTACCCGGCCATGCGTTGCTATGACCCCGTGTGGTGGTGAAATGGGAAAGAAAGAAAAGAGAAAGAGATGGTTTCTAATATATATATAGTTTCATAATGCTTGTGGGTATACATTATTTTGTGTTGTTCCATTGTCTGCGGAGATTTAGAGAAAGATATATGGTTTATCATATCAATGGCTGCCTGGCTATCTGTCTGGAGGACTTTGATGGTGTCTTCTTGCATGTTAGAAGAGGGTTGGGTTAGATCGTCTTGGTGGGGGGGGTCTCTTCCAGATGTATGTTCTCTATTATATGTATATGTAGGTATGTGTTTATTATTTATTATTTGCTGTATTTATACCACCCTCCTCAACTCAGAAGGGGACGCAAGGTGGTTCATAGTGTGTGTGTGTGTGTGTGTGTGTGTGCATGCTTTCATATTTATTGCTGGCTGGCTATCTGCCTAGAGGGCTTTGTTGGTGTCTTCTTGCCTAGTTGACTCCCCCAGCCCTCCCGAGGCCCCTGTCTCACCACAGCCTCACAGACCGCCTCCTCGGCCTTCGACTTCCCTGTCCTCTTCCTCCTTTCCTTCCCATTAACGAGGGAACCTCCAATTGCAGCATTGGAAGTGAGTGCCAGTCAGTAGGTAAGGTGGGAGCATTACCCTCAGGTCAATGAGTGAATGTGGAGGGAGGGAGGGAGGGAGGGAGGGAGAGTGGACCCTCACTGGCTGCCTGCTTTTGCTTTCTCTTGGAAAAGGTTAGAAACAATATGTATCTATATAAATATTATTTTATATCTATTGCAGTCTGGCCATCTGTCTGGAGGGCTTTGATGGTGTCCTCCTGCATGGCAGAAGAGTTGGACTGGGTGCCAACTCAGGCAACCAGTGGGAAAAGAGAGGCAATCAGTGGGTAAGGAAGGAGCTTTCTCCTCCAGCCAATGAGTGAGCGCGGAGGGAGGGTGAGGGGCAGTTTCAAGCATGGGTTATGTAAGGTTTAAAACCTTAGCAGTTGCCTAGGTGACCAGCAGATGGTGCTGTTTTTGAATCAGGACATGCTTTACCTGTCACAGGTGTGACATCTATGTTGTAGTTGGGTTTTGATAACCTTAAAAACTTCGCCTGTTTGTTTGCTACATTGTGTCCTAATTTTGAAGCAATCAGTGAAGTGTTTTTTGAGTTATGATGTATGTCACAAATGAACATTTACATTTTTATTTATATAGATTGCAAAGGATTGGGAAAGACCCTACAACTTCTCTCCCTCACCTCACTCCTGTAGAATAACGAGCAAGATTGCATTCCTAAAATAGCATTCAGTAAGCAGCATATAGAGATGTAAATTTGTAAATGTAAATATTTATTTGTGATCACTGAAAAGGCTGGTATTACTTCTCTCCGTAATAGTCAAAACCCCTCATCAGAGTCAGGCCAGGCATTGAGCTGCTTAAGCCCATCTCTCCTAGTCATTCTGTGCCTAGTGGAGATTGGGAGGAGGACTGATGAATCGCCAGGCTATGTCTCTTTAGCCAGATGTAAAATGATGACTCCATCTGCTGAAGCCTCTGGAGGACCCCAGCAGACCTCAGTGGAAGATGTAATGACTTGGTTTCTGTGATCTCCCCACTTTTTGCCAGCCAGAAAATTATGTAGAGTGGTACCTTCATCAACTTTACAGCTGGTCCAGAAGGTGGGGATTCACATCATAGTGCAGAATTTTGGACATCATTACAGAATGGGGCGAATACCATTGTTTCCCACTACTTTAAAATGTAATTATAAGCCCAATTCACTTTCGTAGGCAGATTCTATTTCTAATTGTCAGTTATAAAATCCATACTGTATTCTTGGCTTTAAAAGGGTAATTTTGATGTTAGGAATATGTAGTGTATTCTTTTGTCTTCACTCAATATCATTTGTCTGATTTTTTTCTCCATATCTGAATAGGATAGGTGGTGCCCATTGCTCTATGTAATGACAACTGCGATCCAGGTTACAGAAAGCAAAAGATAGAGGGAAGGCTATTTTGTTGCTATGATTGTGTTCCTTGTCCGTATGGGAAGTTTTCCAATCAGAAAGGTAGGAGACAATGTGGTCAAGATTCTATCAGGTGTTATGTATAGTATTACGTGCCATATGTTTCGTTACTTTTTTTTCTTCTGTACTGCTAAGACCAAAATGGATTTTATTTCTATAGCCAATCAAGTAAAGCAAACATTTTCCAAATCTTCTTGAACTCAAATATTATCCTCAATGACTACAGTAGAGTATCGCTTACCTGACATAAACGGGCCACCAGAATATTGAACAAGCGAAATTGTTGGATAATATGTAGGAATTAAGGAAAAGCCTATTAAACCCGAACAAAGTCAGGAGGGAGAGTGTGGGGACCCTTCACATCATTCCCAGACTCCTCCCATACTGGATTTCACTTTACTAGCCATTCTTCTACATTTAGTTTCAGTTTTATTAGACCCAAAAGTTGCATTTCGTTAAATGTCATGCACACATGGAGTGACTACCCTTCAGATAAGGAGGTCTAGATCAGAAACTATTGCAGTTAGTGACCTCAAATTTAACTTAATTTAACACCTGACTGGTGCTCCAGCTAAAATTTGAACAAAATTGGAGACATGGTGGTGGGAAGGTTTAGACCGCTTGGCATGGAATGACCCTATAGTGAATCTTCCAATATTATCAAATTTCTGATTTTACATAAAGCCCCATTAGCCCAAATTTGGTTTGAGTTTGATGGAGTCAGGGGAAACAAATATAAGAAACAACAAATTTAAACAAGCTAAGAGATGCATCAAAAAGTTCAAAATGAGGTATGTTGATTGGTTGACTGACACCCTTTTTCATTAATTCATGTTAGGCACCTGAAATGATAATAGACGGAGCAGCAAAGTGGCATGAGAGGGAAAGTAGGAAAGGAAGAATTGCTCTTTTTTTTTTTTTACCCACACCTTCTCCAATCGCTTTGTTGCTCTAGCTATTGTCATTACAGGTGCAGAGCAGTGAAAACTACAATTTCCGTGCCTCGTGGACATGGCAAAGCACAGAAAAACGAGGACAAGGAAAGTGCAGCCCAGGAAAAGCAGGCTGGTGATGTGAACAGTTGTAGCCCCTTCCAAATAGGAAATGGGCCAAGTGTATACATTAGTTCAAAAACAGATGACCTTTGAAGCTATGGAGTCCATTCACCACAGACCAACACATATGGCCCATTTAGATAAGGTAAGTTACTGGATTCATACAGAAGGCGTTCTTTCTTCCAGACCAGGATGATTGTTCTCCATGTCCAACAGACAAGTTTCCGAACAAAAAGCAAAACGGATGCCTGCCCAAGACCCTACACTTCATCTCTTTCACAGAGCCCTTAGGAATGACTTCAGTTCTATTATCTCTCTTGTTTGCTTCCATCACAGTTTTGGTGCTAGGAATTTTTATCAAGTACAAGAACACTCCTGTTGTCAAAGCTAATAATCGGAACCTCACATATTGTCTTCTCATCTCCTTATTGCTTTGTTTCCTCTGTGCCTTGTTATTCATTGGCAAACCTCTGGTAATAAACTGCTATTTACGACAGCCTGCTTTTGGTGTCATCTTTTCCATTGCTGTTTCTTGTATATTGGCCAAAACTATCACTGTGGTTGTGGCTTTCATGGCCACTAGGCCAGGATCAAAGATAAGCAAATGGGTGGGGAAAGGACTGGCCAAATGTATTCTTCTTGGTTGCCCTCTTATTCAAGTCAGCATTTGTGTTGTATGGCTCTGCACTTCTCCTCCATTCCCAAATTTTGACATGTACTCTCTGGCTGAAGAAATCATCGTGGAATGTAATGAGGGGTCTGTGACAATGTTTTATTGTGTTCTGGGTTACATGGGACTTCTGGCTTTTGTAACATTCACTGTGGCTTTCCTAGCCAGGAAGTTACCAGACGGTTTCAATGAAGCCAAGTTCATTACATTCAGCATGGTCGTGTTTTGCAGTGTTTGGCTATCATTCATTATGTCCTACCTGAGTACTAAAGGCAAATACATTGTAGCTGTGGAGATCTTCTCCATTTTGACCTCTAGTTTTGGATTATTAGGCTGCATCTTTTTCCCTAAGTGCTATATCATTTTGCTAAGACCAGATCTAAACATTAAAGACCAGTTACTAAGGAAAAATATGTAAGTGGATACTTACTTTTCTATCATTTTGAAACTGATATATTTTTGTATTGTCGAAGGCTTTCATGGCCGGAATCACTAGGTTCTTGTGGGTTTTTTGGGCTATAGGGCCATGTTCTAGAGGCATTTCTCCTGACGTTTCGCCTGCATCTATGGCAAGCATCCTCAGAGGTAGTGAGGTCTGTTGGAATTAGGACAATGGGTTTATATATCTGTGGAATGGCTGGGGTGGGGCAAAGAGCTCTTCCTTGCTGGAGCTAGGTGTGAATGTTTCAACTGATCACCTTCATTAGCATTTGAAGGCTTGGCTGAGCCTGGGAAAATACCCTGTTGAGAGGTGTTAAGATGTGCCTGGTTGTTTCCTCTCTGCTGTTTTGCTGTTATAATTTTAGAGTTTTTTAATACTGGTAGCCAGATTTTGTTCATTTTCATGGTCTCTTCCTTTCTGTTGAAATTGTCCACATGCTTGTGGATTTCAATGGCTTCTCTGTGTAGTCTGACATGGTGGTTGTTGGTGGTCCAGCATTTCTGTGTTCTCAAATAATATGCTGTGTCCAGGTTGGTTCATCAGGTGCTCTGCTATGGCTGATTTCTCTGGTTGAAGTAGTCTGCAGTGCCTTTCATGTTCCTTGATTCGTGTTTGGGCAATGCTGCATTTGGTGGTCCCTATGTAGACTTGTCCACAGCTGCATGGTATACGGTAGACTCCTGCAGAGGTGAGAGGATCCCTCTTGTCCTTTGCTGAACGTAGCATTTGTTGGATTTTCTTGGTGGGTTTGTAGATTGTTTGTATGTTGTGTTTCCTCATCAGCTTCCCTATGCGGTCAGTGGTTCCCTTGATGTGTGGCAGGAACACTTTTCCTCTGGGTGGATATATTTTTCCTGGGAAACATATTTATGGATTCACTCTGTGCTTCTCTGCTGTTAAATAATATCTAATCCTCTAGTTCTTTGGTGGATAAATTGCTGTTTCCCAGGAACAAGGACTCCCATCGTTCTTTATTGTGGAAGTTCATGAGAGTTGCAGATTAATATTATCCAGAGAGCTACAAATTATGTATATCCCTCTTTTATTGAGCTGTAACATAATAGTAAAAATTCTTATTTTGTTCTATTAAGAACGATAGAATGAAACAATATAAATCATAATTCAATTGTGCAAACACATTTTATTGCTATGTAATATTTTACAAAGCTGACATGAAGTGATTACTATATAGTCATGATTGCTGCTCTCCTGACAACATGGAGAACCTTTGCAAATGAAAGAACATGTGTTTCCCCATAAGATGATTATTGGATTTTTATATTAACATGAATTTAAAGATATAGATGAAGTGTAGCAATTTAGGATAAAAGTCAGAAGGTAGAACATTAGAAATTACCAAAGCCATAGAGAAGATAGAATTCATACTTTTTGTGCATTTTAGTTAACAGGGTTTCATTATGTGTTATATTTGTGTGTATTTTTCTTTGACTTAACTGTGTTCTAAGTGTGTATGGAATTTTAATAAAATGATCTCTATATGTTTTAAAAATGAAAGAACATATTGTTTTATAGGCTGATAGCTTTTGATTCAACTCCAGGCTTGTTTGTTTGTACAATAAAAGCCAAATACTTTCCAAACTAATTCTTTCCTTTATTTCTTTGCTATTCTTCTGATTAAAAGAACTTTCACTATAAAGAATAAGTCAAAAACTTTATAAATAATTATCTACATTTTGAAAATGGGTGTTCCTCTAACTTACCACTGGATAACATTGCAAAGAATGATTCTATTGCGAAATGGCAAGGAGAAAGTTTGAGGAAATGAGACAAAGAGAGTTCCGAAGGTCTACAAAATACAGTTTATTTTCAGTCGGCTGACTGAATTGGACTCTCCTGGTGAATTCAGGAAACATGGTAAAGAACAAAGGAATTGCCTGTGCTTATATATCTATATATAAAAATGCTCTGTGCATAATGAGTACCTTAAAAACAAAAGAACCAATGAACGAAATCACACCAAATTTGGTAACAAAATGTCTCACAACACAAGGAGTGACCATCACTCAAAAATTATGATTTTGTCATTTGGGAGTTGTAGTTGCTGGGATTTATAGTTCATTTACAATCAAAGAGCATTCTGAACTCCATCGATTGAATTGAACCAAACTTAGCACACAGTCCCATGACCAACGGAATATAGGAAGAGTTTGGTGGGCACATGTACCTTGAGTTTTGGAGTTGTAGTTCACCTACGATCACAGACATCACTGTGGACTCAAACAATGATGGATCTGGACAAACCAACCGCGCCCACTCTAGAAACAATGAACTAACTCTATCTACACACCCACACGACATTCATATAAATATACAACAAAAGACACACATATACACACAAAACGCCTAACCAAGATATAATTGCAACACATATATATATGACCACAGATTCATATACACACATATACTGAATTACACACGCAGTAACATTAGATATAAACAACTACAAACCGAGCGACAAAAGTTAACAATAAAATACAATTATATACACACAACACATATCATCCATATCAACATCATATATACCCCCCCATATATATATCACATACATTCATATACATATACACATGCACACATACATACAGACACACACACACACACATATATGCAAGCACAAATATACACATACATATACATAAACACATATATACGCACACAAAACATATACACAGACTACGCCACAGCAACGCGTGGCAGGGGACAGCTAGTCCTTTATAATTAAATGCCTGCATCATAAAAGCATCACAATTGTGCGTGACAGAAATTCCACTTTACATTGCTTCCAATAGCATATTTTTAACTTCAAGACCTTTGACCTTCCATAGGCACCTGTGACGCTCTCTGGTCCTGTCGCCTGACCAGAGTGCTGCCACCAATAAATATGAGATGCCACTCTCTCTGCTCTTTGTTCTTTCACGTGGCAGGGTGGACCTTTTATTTTTCCATCCCACCCGCTGCCACCAATAAATATGCAATGTTTTGTATCTCAGGCTAAGATTCACCTTGCTGTCTCTGACAAACCAGCCAAACTTGTGAGGTAGAAAGTTTATTGTGAGTTTTTCCAAACAAATCAGAGTATAAGCAGTAAAAAGATCAGTAGTACAAGGTAAAAATCCAATATAATCCCTTTGAGTCAAAGCAGTAGACTTGAAGCAAATAAGCAGAGTAAAGTCCAGGAAATAGCATGAGGTTACACGAAGCAGGCTTTTCCCAAGCCCCAAGCCCCAGAGCCGGAGCCAAAGAGAGCCATTTTTGCAACGTTGGAACTGACACAGGATCACTTCCAAGGCAGGTTACTTATACGTTAAACATCAAAACATCGAACATCAAACAGGCAGCTAACAAGCAGTTTTCCCACCAACGGATGAGCTCAACATTTGGCCGCAAGTCGTGAACTCCGTCTCAACACCTGGGCAGCTTGACCTTGATTCCCACCGACTGTCTTATCAGCTACATTCCGTTCTTGTGAGAACAGCGGCCTGTCTCTAGCTACAGACTGTGACTGAGAAAACTGAGAAAACTGAAAGCCCACACCTGCATCTGTATTCCCATTCCCATCATGCTCATCTGCACTCTCTGTACTCTCAGTCCCATCATGCTGTTGCTGCTGAACCACAACACAAGCCCCCCCCTTTGGCCCCCCACCGGACCGGGCTTGGCCGGGTAGGCCCGGTGAAAGCGGGACACTAGGAGAGGAGCATGGACATCTCGAGCATCCACCCAACAGCGCTCCTCAGGACCATATCCCACCCAGTCCACCAAGTATTGTAACTTGCGATGATAACGGCGAGAGTCCAAAATGTCTGCCACTTCGAATTCCTCCTCTCCATCGCGCAGAATCGGGGGTGGCGGAGGAGCCCCGCCAGCATCCGGCCGGACTTCCGCGGCGGGTCGAAGCAAAGATCGATGAAAAACAGGATGAATCCGCATGCCGCGCGGAAGCTGTAGTTTAAAGGTCACAGGATTTAATTGGTCCACCACTGGGTATGGCCCCACAAAACGAGCGTCAAGCTTTCGAGAGGGGCGTTGTATAGGCAGGTGTTTAGTGGACAGCCAAACACGATCTCCCACTTGGATCGGTGGACCCGGCTGTCGATGGGTATCAGCCACTCATTTGTAATCTTCTTTTGCCTGCTCAAGCTGAGCCTTTAAGATCTCTTGAATCGCTGAGAGCTCCTGCAGCCAAGTGGTAGCAGCAGGGACCTCCCCTGACCCAATCACGGAGGGAAAGAACCGGGGGTGATATCCATAGTTAGCAAAGAACGGGGCTTCTTTGGTCGATCCGTGAGTAGCGTTGTTATAAGCAAACTCGGCTACAGCAAGAAGCGCAAAACACATTTGTAATGCAAAGTCGTCGATAGCGACACAAAAAAGTACATCAAATATGCAATTGTTCGAAAGACGGGTATCACATGTTGTGTCGGCCGCTTGGTCTTCTCAGTTCTAGCCATCAGGATTGGAAAGGATGTGTGCGCTGAGGTACACTTCCAACTCTCGAGCCCAAACTGTACCAGCATGATATACCATCAACTTTCCCAAAGTGCTAGGTAAAATTGGGCAACGCCGATCGGGTCACCAACATAGTTGGGAAGTGCCCCAATGAAAGAAGGATAAATGTTAAGGCGAAGTTCTTCAGGACAATGTAAATCCGGACCCGTTTCGCCTTTGGCCGGAGCACCCTAACCACCACAGGGAATGAAGAGGTCCCCATCATGGGTAAAAAAGAATTCCCCCAACAACAACCAAAAATTGTGGGAAAGAACTGGTATTCCGGATAAATCACGTGATGAAGTGCGGCAGGTAACAACGAATATCCAACAGGGCCGATTCGGGAGTAGGGTAGGGATCTGTTAGAGAAACAAGCCGGTTTGCAAGAAAGGGTTATTGGCCTGCACCGGTTGGAAAAACAGGGCAACTCATCTGACATATTTTTCGACCTCTCGTCGGATCTTGGGCCA